GAAAGGGTATGGGATAGGTAGGGTGTTAGTTGGGGGGAGCAGGGGAGGAAGGGAGGGAGAGGGACCTGGGATTAACATGTAAAACAATCTTGTTTCTAATTTAAATAAAAAATGGAGGAAAAAAGAGAATCCAGACACCCTTACTGGTAAGTCAACAGTGCTAACTACTTGATAGTAGCATGACAAGAATGTCACACTGGTTGTGAAACCACTAGGCCCACCCATCATCTTTTACCCATTTGAATGCAGTCTTGACTGGAGTGTCAATCATATGACTTTCTCATACATAACCTTTTTAAATTAAAATTTTATTAATTTAAAAATCCAGAAACACAGTGACTACATAAATAAGTACCATATTTGGGTACATGTCCTGTGAGAAAAGTGAAAGGGTAATACTGTTATGTTACTTATATTTGTTTACACGAGCTAACTAGAAAATGCATAAAACTGCAAAGTGGTGCTTATAGTCTTTGCTGTCCCAAGTGTTTATGATACAAATAAATACACAAAAGAACCATATCCATTCCTCTCTACTAACTACAGGCAGTTTGTCCTCTTTCCTCTATACCCTACAGTCTACCCAACACCAAAACGCTGGAGGATTTCTACATTGGCTTAGAACATTTTCTCACAGGACTTTACAAAGGTGTGTCCCTGCACCTGGAGGCAGGAGTCTATCTAGGGGATCTCTTGAGGTGTTCCCTTGAGGCTAAGCTTTCAGAGAACACCTGGGTGGGAAGACTTTGGGGTGAATCATCTAGCGGGGGAATCCCCACGTTCCTTCAGGATCTGGTTACTGATCTCCACGTTCTGGAAATATTGTTTCCCCTAGAGGGAGGCAATAGCAGACTAACACTGCCCCCATCACATGGTCAATAATGTTTTGTGGTTTTGCAGCCCCGTGTGTCATGTGTCCCTCTTCTGAGGAGAATGTGTGTGACTGGCTGGCAAGAAATTTGTCTCATGAAGCCCTAGCCCCAAAGCCTGGTGTCTCTTTTGTGGAGTCTGCCTCTTCTCTGCTAGGTTCCCCAAAAGACCAGACCTTTTGCACATTTTTTCCTATCATATTCTCTTGCCTAGTGTGGGAACTATGGGGTTTCTAGATCCTCATATTTCTTAGTACTCATTTGAGCTCATTCATGCTCCTCAGAGCATGCTCCTCAAATCCAGAAAGTGGGCCTATGCTCCTTGCTGGGAAGTATTTATAGTCTTTCCACAAAGATGGCTCCTAAAGCCAAGTCTCAGAAAGGATAATTTATGCTGTTGCATTGGGCTGCAAATAAAATCTCAGGAGCAGCCTTGTCCAAAATTCCAGATGCAACATATGCTTGTGGATGAGGCAAGGCTAGTAGGAAGGTTTAGGAGAAAGAATTTTTTCAGGATTCTCAGTCCCCTGAGTGAATAGCAACCCTGTCTTGATAGAAGAACCAATGTTCAGAAGCTTTCAAGGACCGGGACTCTTTAGAAAGTCAAATTTCCACTCCTGTAATCAGAGAAGTAAGATTGCCCTTACACAGGCTTTTAGAATAATTCAAACCAAAGTGTCTGACTAGGTGACTAGTGCCTCAAGAAGTTAGTGAGCGTTAGCTTATAAACTAGTGAGTTGTATAGCTGTGAAAACAACAACAAAAAGGATGGGCTATTTTATTTTTATCAGGTGTGTTCTTCTACAGTCATGAATAGATTAGTATGAATTTAGTTTGTGACAATTTCGCCAAATTCTACCTTCCTAATGGAGGCTCCATAGGTTCAGGTAAAGAAAGAAGTGGTAATATTAGCCAAAATAAATTTAGCACTTCACAGTGAAGAAGGCCCTTAATGAGAGTTCTTGGCGTTCTTCACTCTACCACTATGGTTGACGACTTTCAAAACTGCCTTACAGCTTTGAGGGCAGAATCTTCTCCATACATTTTGAATTTGTTTTTCTGGGTGCCAACAACCCCAACAGTATTCAGGAGTCAGAAATAGGGGCAGTTTCATGTGCAGTGTGTGTGTCTGTTTGTGCATGTGTATATGATATATGAGAATGGAATTTTCTTTTGAGTACTGAGAGTAGAACCCAAGGCTACATTTATGCTAGGCATGTGCTCTACAACTGAATAACCTATGCCTCCACCCATGGAATAAGTTTTTTTTAAGAGAATGGAAGACACTGGAGCATTTAAAAAGCATTTCATACAAATGATTGCTTTATGTGACCCAACTTAAACGGAACAATTTCCTTCTCTTTCCTTCATGTAAGTAACTTTAGTGATTCTCAGAGAAACTAAAGCTGCACCAGGATGTTCTATCCCTTCTCCCTCCAGAAACCATTACAGACACCTCGATTCTCTTTAGAGGAGAGGTTTGAGGGCTGGCACACCACTGCACATAGAGGAACAAGGTATGTTGTGGCTGGCGTGGATAATTTGACTTTGGGGTTTTAGAGCGATGTTGACTTAAGCAAAGTAAGCCGGCAGTCCAGCTGCAGCTTGGGTTTCCTTGATTGACACTATGCAATCCTAGCTGTTTTGTCTAACAGTGGCCCTTTTCAGGTCTCTCCAGGTACAAAACCTGGACCAAATCTTCCAGTTCTGTTCTGCACACCCGACTTGAACACATCTGGCTGAGCCGAGCTTCTCCTTCAGTGAAGATCTTCCACTGGTCTAAAAGGGAAACACAGAATGGTCAGGAGTGTGTAAGATTAGAGCTGCACTAATTAGGGATACAACCAATGTCCTTTATTCTTTTCCACCTCCTTGTAGACCCCTCAGGGTATTCGAAATATGAATGGCAGAGGGTTTCAGCAAAAAAGCACCCCCTCAAAAACAAAAATATTTTTCTGAGGGTAGAGACAGAAAACAAGACATGGAGTTTTTACTTCAATACGTATCATCTGGAAGCTTCCCCAAATGAGATGCACAACTGCTCATCTTTATTTTTCTCCTGGATCCACATGCTGTCCTAGTCTCTCATGAGTAAATCCTAAACCCTATGTTTAGAAAACTTTTATGAAAGGATTAATTTGACCTTAATGTGTTTGAGTGGATATATACATATGAATGCAGGTACCCACAGAGGTCAGTAGTATCAGACCCTCCTGAATCTGACGTTACAGGAAGTCGTGGACTACCTGACATGGGTACTGGGAACTGAACCCAAATCTTCTGAAGAGTAGTATGCACTCTCAACCACTGAACCAGCTCCATATCCAGTGTTTGAAATTTTTATAGTGTATTTAGCATTTTCAAAATACTCCACAGTTGGCCTGAGGATAGCAATACCTACTGCATCACTGGAGCACAGCTTGCTCTCTTAGGGCCCCATATAATGGTTTGGGTTACTTGATTGTTTAGCACTATTTTCTCTATTCCTCATTTTCTTTGTCAACAACTGCTCATCTTTATTTTTCACCTGGATCCACGTGCTGTCCTTATGCATCATCATTACCCTGAGATGCTGTCTTATGGCTGCTTATCGTGATCTATTCTCACACTGGTTCACAACCCTTTCCACTCTCTTAACTTGGATGTTTTCCTTCCATTGCTTATTGACTCCCAACAGCCCCTCACATTTCTTTTTATGCCTATGTTCATGGTGTTGAAGTCTGGGAATCTCTGAGAGCAAAGTCAGGAAACTCCTTTTCACCCTAAACCTGTTTGAACTTCTTTGGTTTCTCTACTCACATGAGAACATAATGCCCTCCCCTTGAGACCTGAACTCCCTGCTTCTCTCTGCCTGAAATCCATCATTTTCCTCTGTTCTCTATGCCTCAGCATGAAAATAGAAAAAAGGGACATAATATTTACCAAAGCTGTATGATGTATCAGGCTATTGAAGCACATTACGTGACGGAGTTGGACTTATTTCGCTGTCCCCAGGTTATTCCATTGGATCATGTCACTATCCACTGCTTTCAGCTGTACAATGTTTGGGGAACACAATATCTAATTCCATTACCTGTCCCCAGTCTTAACTACTTTGGGCACAGAGTATGTCTAAACCAGTTCCAAAGTCCTCTGGAGCCTGGTATACTGTCTTGCTCAAAACATGAACTACAGCAGCTGGTGGAAGTACAAGCAGACACCCACTGAACTGAACTGGAATCCAGTTGCAGAGAAGGACGAGTGAAGAGCAAAGGGGTCCAGACCAGGCTGGTGAAACCCACAGAAACACCTGACCTGAACAATGGGGAACTCTTCGTCCCCAGACTGATAGCTGGGAAACCAGCATGGGACTGATCCAGACCCCAGGAACATGGGTTTCAATGAGGAGACCACGGAAATCTATGGGACCTTCTGTAGTAGATCAAAATTTATCCCTAGTATAGGTGTGGACTTTGGGAGCCTGTTCCACATAGAGGGATACTCCCTGAGCCAAGCCACAGGGGGGGTGGCCTAGTCCCTATCCCAAAGGAGATGATAGACTCTGATGACACCCTATGGAAGGCCTCACCCTCCCTGGGGAGCCGAAAGGCTATGTGATAGGTAGGGTTTTAGTTGGGGGGGGGTGGGGAGGAGGGGAGGGAGTGGGAACTGGGAGTGACATGTAAAACAACCTTGTTTCTAATTCAAACAAAAACAATGAACTAAAATGTGTTCTATGATGAGCCAGTAATTGATCTCTGGACCTTAATATCTGTCTCCTTTATTCTTGACTCTCTTGTAGGGATTCTTCAAGTCCTGCATTCAGATTCTCATACTGTTCATTTTACTTCCTATCAATCTTTCAAAACACATACAAAATACCTTACCAACACTGTTTCTAGCTGATTCTCAGGCATCCTGATCAAAGTACTTTCCAAGCAGACCTTTTTTCACCGACACCTGCTTGCTTATTCTTCAGGTTTTAATTGGCAAATGGTGTAAGACCCCGGAAGCTCAGGCCTCCAGGATCTCAGCCCAGGACGATGGCCACCCCAATCACCAGGTGGAGTCGAAAGCTTGATGCAAACAGCACGAGGCTTTATTGTTGCTTAATGAGCTAACCTCATGTTAGCTCGGGTCTTTCATCCACCCACCATGGCGGCTGGCTAGAAAAGACAGTTCGAAGCATCTGCATAGAGATCTTGTAGGGCAGCGTAAGGGGAGTGTCTAGGGGTATGCACAGGCTCAGGATTGGTGTGGCTCCAGGCTTGGAGGGCTTGCCCTGTGTTGATTGGTCAACTGGTTGTTACGGCCCCTAGGCCCTCCCTGGGTGGTTGCTATGCTCTGCGTGTCATTGCTGTGCACTTGTCCGTAAATCACACCCAGAGCCTTAAAGCGTAACACCGCTAGCTAACTTCTGATTGGTTCCTTGCCACGAGGCAGGCATCTGACCTCTTAGTGACCAAGGCAAGTTCATGGCAAGCACTTGTTACTGTCATGGCTGCCGAAATGGGGAGCTGGTCCCTTCAATGTCATTACTACCCACCCAACCTTCGAAGTTATTAATACTGGAGTCGCTCTATACTAATGCCCCCACACATCTATTTGTTGACTTAGCATAGAAATGTCTCTCATGGTGACATATCCTCCCTTGTCTCACAGACAGTATTGTGTGAGAACTTCCTAATTCAGATTCTCAACAGCTCTGGCATTAATGGCACACCCTGCTCCTCAGAGCAAGACCCTCTTTCTAAGAGCCAGAATACCCCATTTACCTGCTTACTAATTCCCACTGCTGTGCTTTCGGCTGGAAGTCAAATCTCACTTCATAGTCTGGATTCACCTAGGTGAATCTATTTAAAAGCTCAGAGCACTGCTTTGCCATCACTGTGCTGCCTGTATTGTGTAGCGACTCCCAATGTTACTTGCTTTGCACGCACACTTTTCATGGGCTTCTTCTAAGCCTTTTGACTACTTCATACCAACTCTTTTCATCTGCATTGCACCCTATGTGGCCTTGGTGATCATTCCTCACCCCCACCCACATTTCTTGTCTGCTCCTGCCTGAATCTTCTCTTAGGCTGCACCCTCACCCTGGACTGATTTCTTGACCTGTTGCCCAGTCACACCCTCTTCTTTTAAAAAGCACCTCCTCCCCGAAGCCTTCCTCGACTAAGCCCACCTGGCTCTCAACTTATTGTTCTTTGCAGATTCCCCTGAGCACTTAGGTATTTAACTCCTCACAGCTCTTCTCATTCACACTGAAGGCCTGTTCGTGTTCTGTCTCGCCCACTAAAAATTCCCTGTGGATAGAAATCTGGTGCCTTTTATTCCATTAGAAGTGCTCCCCACCCATCCCTACCCCAGTGTCCTGCCATATGTAGTCCCTAAGCTCCATCTAGTGTAGAAAGTGGGAGAGTTGCAATTCTGCATGGATGCCTGGATGCTTTTGAAGAAACACGAGCACCTAGTGGTAGTTTTGTTTCCTTTCTTTTTTTCTTGTTTGCTTGCTTTTTGTTTTTCGAGACAGGATTTCTCTGTATAGCTTTGGAACCTGTCCTGGAATTCTTTCTGTAGACTAGGCTGGCCTCAATCTCACAGAGATCCTCCTGCCTCTGCCTCCCAAGTGCTGGGATTAAAGGCGTGTGCCTCCACTACCCTGTCACCTAGTGGTAGGCACTCCATATTTCTGTCCTCTTCTTTATTCCCAGAGAACACAGCCATCCAGATGTGAAGACTCTAGATTTATACTCCACCTGAAATCTTGTGAAGCTTCCTTCAACCCTCTCGTGTCTTGGTTTATCAGTTTCATTAAGGACATTTAAGAAACCTTTAAGACCTGAAATAGCATATATATGGACCACTTTACAGTTTGTATCCATCATAGAGCCTGTGCATACCCCTAGACACTCCCCTAACGCTGCCCTACAAGATCTCTATGCAGATGCTTGTAGGGGCCCAAGTTTTTCCAGTTTGCACTCACACACCCTATTTGTTTTTTTTCGCCCAAAAGAGAAAGTGAGCATGTCCTAATGTTGAAATAGAGCATTCTTTATGTTCATTGAGAATACAGAGGGACTTCAAGTGTGGCAACGCTATATTTAAAAGCTGGAGGTGATTTCCAGCGAAGAGTAAAATGAGTTCCCACTTACTCAAGGTGGTCCGAGTCACCAGCTTGAAATGATGGAGCTCCCCAAACATCCTCTTGGAGATCTTCTCAATGTGGAAGTGCTGGAGAATGCCTAGGGTCAAGTGCAAAGTGGAACAGGTGATGAAACATTTTGTGTCTCTTTCTGGAAGCACAGACCCCTTTTCTGCCTAGGCTGAGCATTTAATCTCATTACTGGGGCTTAGGGGTATTGAGCTGGGCTGTGTAATGTACTTAACCAGGAACTTGGAGGGCTCAAAGACTTTAATTGACTCCATTTGTTTCCTTGGCTCACTGGCCTCCCTTTAGCTTCTCCAAGGACTGGAGATAAGGGAGGTAATACTTCTGACCATGGAATCCCCTCCTAAGAAAAGCATGAGTACTTGTTGGAACTTCTGTGGCCAGAGGCAGTATTAGAATTCTGCTTTTGGCCATAATTTGGATGGATAGTTCCTGCCAAACCACTAGGCTGCCCTCCTGGCTAAACAATGAAAACCAGTAGTAAGATTACAGGCATATTATTTGTGTAGAGAAGCTACCCCTATTCCTGAATTCACACAGAAGTGCAAATTTTCCTTGGGGAAATATTCACAATTCTTGCAGGCTTCTCTTAAAACAAAACCAAAAAACGGAGGTAGGGTTCTTATGCATTGGCCCACAGTTTCCACCTTGCCTAAACAGATTTTTTTTAAATCAGAGGCAGGTAAATAACTGAAAACTGCCAAGTAGTTAAGGAGCAACATGTTACCAGCTCCCTAAAACCCAGAGGTCAACAGGGAAGAAAGGTTTTGCTGTGTCCAGGAAGTATAAACCTCAATAAAAGCTTTAGTGTGAATAGAAAGAAGGCTATTGATATATTCTGCTAGAAAATTGCAAGTCATCCATATACTTTAGTGGGGCTGAAGGACACATGGTTGAGTTCATTGCTTGAGAAATCAATGGGCCAGTTCTTAGTCCCAGGTGACTAGTAAACATACGCACTATAGAATTAAAGATGGAAAACGACACCCCTAAATAAAAAGCCAAAACAAGCATGACTGAAAAGCACATGTGCATCACACGATACTTCCTAAGGGGGGGGCATTCTTTAGAAAAATCGAGGTTGTTGGAGAAACGAAGAGAGAAAAGATGCTATAAGCAACTATAGCAGTATTCCTGAAAGCATGATCCAAAGTACTACTTGTGTTAGCATCACAAGATTCTGCCTTAATCACACAATATTTATACAATATCCAAGGCATACTGAATTCTCATCTCTGGGTAGGATTAGCTAGCAGCCCATTAGTACACTTCTGTGCATGGTGCTGAAGCAATACATGTTTGCACCCTGGTTATTCTTGTTGCTATTTTGAGACAGGATCTTAACTGTGTAGCCCTGTCTGGCTTAGAACTCACTATGTAGATAAGGCTGCCCTTGAACTCACAGAGATACACCTGCTTCTGCCTCCCAAGATAGATGCTACCATACCTGAATATGTAAATACCCTTAAATCTTGGACAAGAGGTAGGTTCAAAAGGATAGATTTTATTGTCCAAATGAAATCTTATCCCTACACTTGGATTCCTGGAAAACCTGACCATACTAGATCATCACTAGTCTTGTCCACACAGCATGATATGAATAGATGTAGGAGCACACTGAGTATTGAATAGAACATTGCTGGTTGTGGTGGCTGCTGTGGAAAATCAGGGAAGCAACTGGATATCATGACAGGGATTATTTTGAGAAAGACTATCATCTTCTTCACACTTATGTGTGTCTTCTTCACAGAAGTGCATCGGGGGAAGGGGCACTTGTTGTACTGCAGCAGACATTTGAGGGCAAGAGGACAATTTACTTGGGGTTGTGAGATTCAGTTCTCCCCTTCCACCATGTGGGTCCCAGGGACTGAACTGAAGTCATCAGGCTTGCCACCAAACTTCTTTATCTAGTGAGTCATCTCCTTAGCCCAAGACCATAATCTTAAAAGTAGGAAGGATGTTATAAACTGATCTTAATCCAGAGTGTATGGTATAATTCCAGAGACATAGCTTCACACTGAAGAATGGGATTTCCTGTTTCTTGAGCTTCACATTGCAAAGGGAAACTGCAGTTTCTTAGTTTACAACATAGGCCATAGTTTAGAACCACTTTAAGAATTTATGGAAACACTGATTGATTCACATGCCTGGCTCAGATGAACAAATCAGACTCTTGTGGTAGGGCTTAGGTGTTTGATATAAAATTCAAACCAAAACAAGACAAATGACAACCTTGGGGATCTCAAGAGTTAACATTTAATCTGTAGCACAGACTGTGTTAATCTGCAAACACAACATGCATATCAGACACCCACAGTTTATAATCAAAGGGGTAACTTCTGACCCGAACACAGGACCTTGCTGAAATAAAACTAGGTTGAGTTGTCCCCTCTCCGCTCTACTTACAAACACAAAGGTAATGCTGTTTTGCTCACCCTTTCGAATGGTCCAAACGTGGACCTCTACTTGAGGTGGTCTCTCAGTCTCCAGTGCTATTTTTCTCGTAGTCTCTCCATCCTCCATGAACACAGACTCATAAACAGGCATGGTTTCTTCTCCACAAAAGTAACCTTTGCTGTCAAAGTTTTGGCTTGGAGGTTCTTCTGGAACCAGGAAGCAAGTAGAGTTTTGGCATGGTTTTTGAAAACTAGAAGTGAACTTCTGATTTTAGCCATCTCACTGTTTAGAACAGCTGACACAGCAGAAGTACACAATCAACAGAGACAACATTCCCAGATTTGCCTTACAAAATTCAGCTCAGGGTACCCCTCTAGCAGCCACCAAATCACCAAGACACATCTAAGCTCTCATGAGTCCATATGATGACAGAATTAGTGGCTCTGTAGGGCACACCCACAAACTGAACTGGATCTCCCTACAACAGTAATGGAGACATGGGCTTTGATGAAGAAGAAGAAGAAGAAGAAGAAGAAGAAGAAGAAGAAGAAGAATATAGCCATGTATAAATCTCTTAGGTACTTAAGGGAACACTGATTTTTCCATACTAGGGTAGAAGTGTGTTCTGTTCATCTTAGTGTTGCTAAGAGAGGCCTAGGAGACAGGTTGACAGAGGGCTTTTGGTTAGCTTTTCTGACATCATTTCAGTATACTTAGAAAACACTCATGACATTCATTTATGTGCATATACTTGCCCAACGGATCCATCCAAATTGGCTTGACATTTCTGAATGCTCTTTGATTTGTTTGGAAGAGGAATGATAATACCGGATCAGCACCAGTGCCAAAATCTAGATGTCAGATTAGTCATGTGTATGCTATGCCAAATGAACAGTTGGGACACACACACACACACACACACACACACACACACACACTCACAAATTGGCTAGATTCTCTGTCTGTGAATTTATGTATAGCTGACCATTGAAATTCAGCTCCTGGGAACAAAGGTACCAGCCCCATAATTACTTGGCATTTCGTACCACACTCCCTTTGCCAAGGCTCCATACCAAAAAAAATTCTCCTTATTGTTGGTGATAAAAAGATTATTGGTGAGTTTTTCCTTTGATGGCTTTATAATCAGCATCCCCCTTTAGGTATGTATTCAAAGTATATAACTCTAATAAGATATACTGAAGTGAATCCTTACATACACTGAAAACTTTAAGACTATGGAGAAGCTATCTATAAGAATATCTGAGCCATCAGGGATAAATACACCGAGGGTTGAATGTTTGGGTAATCTGTGGCTCATACTGATGAGAGACTCACTGCTGTCCAATCAGATATATTGGACTGGACATTGTAATCAAATTGCTATTGTATGTCTCTCTTGGACCTGATTAAGTTTCCTCTCTACCTCTGCCTCCCACCATTTGGCACGGTGAGGACAAAACCACCATCATCTCTTGACAGTTCCAAGTTGGATCACTCATTTTGTGGATTATCCTAGAATCAAACTTCTTTTCTCCCTTTGCCTTTCATTTTAAACATTTTATTACTTGGCAGGCCAGTCTTTTTTGGTGATGTTAGGCAATTAAATGTTGTGTGCTCACAGTTTTCAAATCCAAACAAGGAGGTCATGGAGTGTACAGGGACTTCTATGAATTCAATTGTCACCTTTACAAGGAGAGCAGACTTTGGTAAACTTTGTTCAGTAGCTTAATGTTGGCTATGAATGTAACTGACATATGAAAACCAGCCTGTGATGGCACTAGAAGTACCTGTCATGTACTCAAAGTTTTCTCAGTACCCTAAAGAGGCATTCAGAAGCACCAAACCCTCTTAAAATCTGAACTTACACAACTGAAGAAATCCACAAACAACAAAACCCCATTAGTGACTCAGCCCTAGTTGAAACTGGAAGACACTAAAACAAATTTTGTTCTTAAATGGATGTATTCAGTAACATCTTACACTTTCCATCTCAAGGCACGTCACCTCCATGCTCATCTACTCTCATTACTCTCATTTCCTTTCAGTGAACCATGCCATAATTGAAGTAATTTTGGGCCATGTCCATTCCCCATGAGAAAATTATCCTGTGACCTCTAGAACCAAGAAACTTAGACACTATTACTTTGGGAGGTGATGATGACAGATAAAGATGTGTTATCTCATCTTGGGAAGCTTTTTAAACCATAACAGGGACATTTAATGGCCAAATCCAAAAGAAGTGTGTGAGGATTTCTAGGTATTAGAGCAGTACCAGAGGTATGAGAGGTGAGCTGGGGAATCTGTAGGTGTGTGTCTTAGTCAGTTCATTGGTGGACACTGACATGTAATGTAAGGCTGGACGCTAGCAGAGCAGTAACAAGAGGGAAGTGGAATTTACATCATTTACCATGGCCTGTGTTCGTTAATGATGGAGCCTGCTCTTTCTTGTTGTAATGAAATTTTTGACTTGATAACCAGTGAACTTATTTATTTCTTCCCTACTTTCCCTTATTTATTTCTTTCACTGCTTTGTCTATTTTCCTCTAGGTCATGCACCATTATTTTAAGAAGTCACTGATGGTCTGATGTTCCTGTTTGTGGATGCTTTCATGTCACCCAGGAGTCTCTTCAAACATCACATCCCAATGACTACTGTTTTGAAAGTGTTTCATGCACTATTCACCATCTCCTAATCTTGCTCCTTTTCCATTCACAGTCCCCATCACACGCTAAAATTATATTCTTGATTTGGTTTTACTGTGCTTCCTCTTCACTACAATGCAAGAACCAGGTAGTAAGTAGCCTTTGCCTGTCCATCTCTCATTCTTCAGTGTCTGTGTTTGCATGCAGAAGGTACTTAACATGCATTTTTAGGTTGATTTCAGAACATACTTAATGCTTTACATGTGCTGAATATGTGGAACAGGCACCCTGGGCCATGAAGACATTGACTCTTGGGCAATATAACCCCTAAGAGTGATTTAAAATGCACACACCCAGTTCTGGCTCACAGAGAGAAAAGTACACAGAATGTGATTGCAACTGTCTCTTTGCACGATGCCCAATGGATATACTATCTCAACATGTCTGATCACCATGAAAACAGTAAAAATAGCTCATTCAGGGAAACTGATTCAGTCAGTCAGGTTCTTCAATATATTGACAATTGGGATTCTGGCCAGTAGTTTTTTTTTTAAACAACAACTTTTATTATGTTTTCAAATGATAAAAGTAGTACATGTTTACTATTGAAAATTTAGAAAATATAAGTGAAAGAAGAAAATAGGAATACTTGCTAAGTCAGTTATCCAAAGATAATCTATGTAAACATTCTGTCATAGTCCCTTCCAGGCTTTAAAAAAATCTAAGCACACACAACCTTTTTCTTAACACAAAAATTAAGTATAATACATGTAATTTAGCCATTCCCTTATGAGTGAATTTTCTGATTGTTGTCAATGTTTCACTATTACAAATAACACTGCACCAGAAAAGACTAGCTTCTCTACCTTTATGTATTTCTATTTACTTTCTCAGAGTAAGCCCAGAGGTGGAGTTGCTTATCTGGATGCTTTCAAACTACCATCAACCTGAGAGGGAAATTCTTTTTAAAGAAATGCATGCTTTGTGTCCCATTTTTTCCTTTTATTTGGAATCACCTGTATGAATAAAATCCTAAGAACAGTGTGAAACGAGATTCTGTCTGAAAATCAAAGAATCAAAACAGAAAACTTGATCTTCAGTATTTAGGTAACTACTAATTTTTGCCTAAGTTTTACCCTTTAAGTGTAAATGTTAGACCTTTGACCAAAGAGAAAAATGTGTTGGGGGATTGTAACTGACATTATGATTTGTGGATCAAATGAGACCCCAGCCTTTAAGTCTCCATGTTTGGGTGGCCCCAATATACACATCATTCCTAGAATATGCTTCCAGCCTACTCCTAATAAGCACACTTCCTCCTGAATTTTAGTATTCTGATGTCTACTATTGGCCAGATCTTTGTAATCACATCCTGTCCCTATCACCATGCAAGATGAAGGGCATTATATTTACCTTACAACATTACTTCTCAAGCTTTAATATGCATACTTCAAGTAGACTCACTTGAGAATCTTTACTGCAGATTTGGATGCAGGGCAGGTGGAGGCCTGAGAATCAGCATTTACAATTAGCTCCTATATCCTGCTGGAGCACCAATCACATTTTGAAAAGCAAGAGCATGAACCACTGTGAGCATGCACCGACTGTTCTTAAACTTTTCTACATATCAAAGGGGTCTGAGGCACTTATAAGAGTCCCAAGGCCAGGCCATAATTCAAATCAATTAAATCATAATCTCTGGAGATGGGCCATGGGTACTTTTAGAAGCTCCGTGGGGATTCAAATGTGCACACAATTTCAGGGATCACAGATAGTGTAAAGAAAGATTCTCATGTACTTACACTGAATGCATGTTTGCCTGCAAGGCAGGAGCGACTGTTTAATGGAAGGGATAAATGATGTATCCACGTCCATTTTAAAAATCATTTGTCACTTGTGTTTACATAAATTCTTTACAGAAGGCCTAAGAAGTGGTGAATTAATGTACCTGGGAATGGCTAATTGATGGTGGAATTCTGGGATGGGGGTAGATATAGGAAGTCACTTGCTTTAACCATATCATTTTGAAGAAAAACATATGGAGGCTCAGAAGGTTTAAGGGGCTTGTTGTAGGTCACACAGAATAGCTATAGCAGACCAAAGGTTCAATGCCAACACTATAGATGACATAGTTGTTTTAAAATCTAGTTCATGTATTAAAAACCACCATTTGAAAAATTTGTTTTTAAAAAAAGATCAGCAACATTTTCAAGTATAAAAGACAGTGGGCTGGAAGTGACCTGGGTTTAAGGCCTTGACTGTATTAGCCATTAGTTTCATGACTTTGGGAAAGCCAATTTATTCATTTCACTGTTCTTGTCTTTAAAAGAGAAATAATATAATTATATTAGTTTAGTGGTGGAAGATAGTGAAGGGGAGATAGAGGTTTGATAATAGACACTAAAACACCATTAGAATTAATGATTTCTATTCTTCTATAGCACAGTAAGGTTACCATAGCAAAACCAATTTATGATAAATTTGAAAATGAATACAAGAGTCTAGGAATATACATTATAGAAGATGGAATGACAATTACCCTGATTTGATAGTTGTACATTGTATGTATGTCTTGAATTATCATACTGTACCTCATAAATATATACAGTTACTATGTCTCAAAATTAAAACATAAAATGCAAATAAAAATATAAAAATGGAGCACAGTGATAAACTGCTTTAATTTTTCACATGGGGCTAACAAGGCTAACAGATATATATGGATCTGGTATATTTTCAAGGTCACATAATGACCTTAGATTTGGATCAGAACCTAACCTTCATCAACTGTAACTCAGGCATCAACTCATCTGAAAAGAGTACTGGATTATGGCTGTAAGTGAGTTATTGATTTAAGAAGTGTAAGGTGTGGCTATTTTTCTAAACAGTGATAACATAAACTCCCTAGTTTAGAAAAACAAGAACAAGTTAAGCAATTTGGCATGTGTGTGAAGTTGTAGACACAAGAAACTCTCCAGAATATTTCTGAGTAGTTAATTCCTTCAAAGCAACCATCACTCTCAGAAGAGGAAAGAATGAGGTTCATTCTTGCTAGAACTATTATCATTAGATTTATATGGCAGGTCATTTATGTTTCTGATGCACAAAGAAAATCAAACAGGACTCTGAATCCCATTCAACCAAAGGCAGGGCCTCCAGCCAACGCACCTTTTGCCTTTTTACCTGGACACACCTTGCAGCACTTTCCATCTATTTTTTGAGGATACTTGCAGGGGTATCGATTGGGGCAGTGGATTTTCTTACATTCTTGCTTGGTGACATTACAAGTGCATAGCACACATTCCACAATGCCAAATGCCCGTAGATTTGGGTGCCAGGACTCTCCATGAGAATAGGTCTTTCCATTGGAAACACACACTGAAGGAGAACACAGGAGTAGAGAGTGAAGGTGAATTACTAGGCTTAGACTACCATCCATGAATTATTTAACATATCAAACACCATTTGTTCTGTCATAGCAAGAACTTGCGTTTACAGAGGTAGTCTTTGAGCATAGCACTATTTGAGTGATAAGCTATCTCCAAACAGTGCCTCTAATCTTCAGGTATTTTTTTTTCAGTTTCCCATTGGTAACTGCTATAGGGATGTGGCTACAGAAAATCAAATGAATGCGTTGCCTTACAGATAGGTATCTTTTGTCCCTCAGACAGTTGTTGAAGGAGAAGAATAGTCATTGCCTCTGTTTTCTGAGATATCTTGAAAGAGCATACATCGGGATTACAGGCAGAGGGAACTTATGAAGAAAAAGGGACACAGAACATCCTTCCAGATATGCCAGCCTCAAACCTATTAGGCTACTACTATACAGCATGGAGCTAGGTTCCAGGGAAATAAATGGACAGGTAGTGCTGTAAAAGGAGAGGTATGACAATCAATGTTCTCCATTTCTGAAAGGCAGAGACTGTGGATATTTCAAGCCATAAATGGATTTGGGTGTGGCTTTCATTATTTCCATCACCTCATCATACCCAAGGAGACCTGTCGGCATCTTAATCAACATTATCTCTAGGGTAGGGTGTATCTCTTTGGACAGGGCTGGGGGGAGACATATTCCCACTTGGGGCGTTTCTAGGAATTGACTGATTTGGCTGCAACACAGACTCAGGATGAATCATTAGGCTATTTCTTTCTCATCAAGTCCACTGGGTCACATTAAAGAATATGAAAGATGTTGGCTGTCTTTTTCAAGAACTGCTTGAGTACTGGGCCCTCTAACAGGTCAGTCTGTGTAAAGATTTCCAAGAACCTAACCTGGAGAAGATCCCAGTGCACAGAGAGTCTCAATAGATACCTAAAGCATGAGGCTCTGGGCTATGAACAGAACCATAGAAATTAGGCAGGATGTGTTTCTCTCTTGCCTACCCTTTTTTCTCTCAACTCTGTAACACTGTTTTCTAGACCATTTTGAACAAGTGGGTACAGAGCTGGCTCTAAGAACATTTTGGCAGGATTTAAGTTTAAAATGTAGGACTCTTGTTGCTTTTCTTCTGTGATTTTTAACAACGATCTGAGCGTATATTGCACAGGGGACCCTGTCACTATGGAGAGAGTTCATAAGGGTGATCCATACTCAGGGAAAACAAGGCAGGCAGTACTACCCAAGCTAAGCGTCATCTTCCTTCTAAACATTTTGATTATGGGAACAGTCCAGACTAGGCAGAATCCCACACTCTGCAGTGGAATAAAATGTAGCACTTAGAAGGGAAGGGAGCCTCCTCCCACCAACAAAATTCCAAAAGATGGTTTTGAATCATTCAGCTGGGGTTTGGGCGTTAAGGTGAAGACAAGAGATTCTTCAGTGAACTCTTACAGAAAGGTCAAGAGAGAAGGGATGTATCCAGATAAACGTGGCAGATGAAGAAATATGAAGCAGCTAGGGCTTTTGTAGGGCAGTGAGGCAGTGAAGGGGTGAGCCTCTACTGTGAAAAGAGAAGAGTTCTTAGGGAAATTATTGTATTTGGGGCTTTCAAGTCTTTTTTGTCCTCAATCATTTTTTAAGGCTTTGCAATGCTTCCAAAGCAAATGTAATCTATTGGGGGTAATTTAGGATTGAAAAATCCAACTGTATCTTTACCTAACTCTTCTTCCTTTCATAAAGTTGTATCAGAAAGCTTTGGAACTTAAAAGTCATAAATTTCAAATCAAACACAGATCAATAATACATATTTCTAACTATTTTAATAACCACAGTTTTATTAAATTGCATTTAGAGTTTTCTCGTAAGCCTGTAGATTTTTAAATTGATGTTTTTATGTATAATCTGAATTTTACATGTAACTAGTTACAGATGTGATGAACTAGCTTTGGCTTGACCAGCTCTGTTGAGATTTATCCTAGGAGTTCTTTGTAATGGATTGTTTTTCACCAATGTTATTCTTCATTTGGTTTAATAATTTACTTTTATCCTATTCAAAGAATTGCCTTTTGATTTATTTTCTTTCTAAAGGAAACAAAACATGCTTGTGGTTATGTAAAAAGGAACCAGTTGAGCCTTTATTCCAGAGAACTGATTGATAGGATACCCAATATACTAAGCACCAGTCAACATTATGCTTTTTTCGTCTTCCCACCTCTGCTACTGGAGTTGGGGCAGTGGAGGCCAGAGGAAAGAAAAGTGTACCAATGAACATATATGGACGCTCATGCAACAAGACTCATGGTTGAGTGGACTACAGTGTTAACCTGCTCAGTGGTCCTGGTTTTCAGCCAGGTGGTTTCTGGATTTCTCACTGGCTCACTCAAATGGAAGGATGATCTCCTCATTTGCTACATGCTGAATCAAAATCTCCAAGACTGGAGCCAGGAATATTTAACAAGAGTCCCAGGAGGAAGGCTATTTAATACTTAACTATTGAGAAGAGCTTTAGAAGTATTTGGCACCAAGTACCTTTGAATGTTGGGTGCCCTGCTTATTAAAGATCAGTGGATTTCCCCAAATGACCTCCAGTTCACAAGGCAACAGAGAAAGTGCTAGAAGTTGCTTCATAATAAGGGTACTTGTGTATACTATTCTGAGTGCATTTGTGGAAAGTCCTACAAGCCCTCTCACTTGTTCATACCCACTTTGACGATCACATTTAGTGATGCACATGTGAGTATACACTGTTTATGGGATAAACGGTCCCATCCCAGGCTCGGTCTCTAAAGATCAGGCATGCTGAGGAGGATGCCCTTTACCTTGTCCATGTTTGTGCTTGTTATTGATGACAATCTGTACGATGGTTCCTGATGCTTGCTGGGAATCCATAAGAGCTCCCCGGTGACTTCTCCCCCCAGGAAATCGAGGAGGACCCCCAGCTTGTCTGCTTGGTGGAGGATCATAGGGAGAACGGAGGTAAGAATGTCTCTATAAATAACAAGGAAAAAAATCAGTCCAAAACAAATATCAACAATGAGATATCAAGAATTGAGTTATATACATCAGCAGTAATTCAATGACTTTGATTTTTAGTGATGAACTCCTATCTTAACTGTATGTCTTCCTATGTCAACAAAGGTAAGGATGTGCCTGTGAGAAAGCAGTACTGGAAATTTGCTGGGGTTTTCCTCTCTCCTTGTAGATTGGACCAGATTCCCAGAGAAACTCGTGAGGAACAAAACAGCCCCAAAGGCTAAAGCGCCTTCCTGCTAAGAGACTCATATTTCCAAGTTTAAGAGCTAGTCTTCAACAGAAGGCAAAAGGTAACAGGTCACAAGAAAAGTCCAAAGTGGTGTTTAAATTACGAGGAGAGATGCTTGTCGGGGAGGGTTTGTGACCTGGGTCATGAACAGAGGGTAGACTTCTTCTTTTTTTTTTAATAGGCAGTTTGTGGGGAATATTCCAGGCAGAAGTTTCCAAATTGAGAAGGTGTAGCAAAGAACATAGAGTCCTTAAAAGGGAACAGTTGAAGGATAACATTCCAAATGGGGGTTGGAGCCAGATCATGGAGGACTTTAAATGACAAGCTAAGGGGTAAATACTTTATTTGGTAAATGATAGAGGTGGGAGTATGGAAGCCTTTGAGGGATTTTTTTAAAGTAGAGAAGTGACTTAATCAAGAGCTTGTCTCAAAGCACTAAAACCCTGTTATGTGTTAGTGAACTGGAGAAGAGGAAAAGGTGGGGGGTCAAATAGGGTCTCAAGTATGTATACTGAGAGTGTGAGTACAGGCAAAATGATAGAAGATCACACAGCAGAGCACTTCACTGACACACAACAGTATAAGTTCTATGTCTAATATCTAGAATGTACTCATCCATAGCTGTTAGGTGAATAAAAGTACTTCCCCACTCTTGTGATACTAATAAAGCAACCATTATTCTTTCATAAAGAGTTAAGGCAATGATGAGCTCAACTCTTCTTCTCTGTCTTGTTCCCCGGAGCAGACAGAAAGGGATGGCTTGAATAAGAATGGAATCTTAAGGGTTAGTGCATTAATATGCACCATTTTAGGGGCACTTTCTAAGAGAAAGCCCATGAAAAGATTTCACAGGCAGTTAAAGAGGAAGATCCTTAAACTCACTGATGGAGAAAGCTGACAAACTGAGATACTTAGGGTATCCTGGACCCAACTTACTGTAACAGCGATTTACATTGCTATGCATTATAAGCACAGCTTTTGAAAGAAATTGCTTTGGGAGAAGGAAAAAGTGAACAGAAATTGGAATAAATGGACTCTTTTTGACTCCTGACATAAAACGTCATTCTCCGTATCTAACAGTCCACTCTGGCACATGGTCATAACAATTCGCACAAACAAGAATTTGCTTCAATTTGTTACCATGAGCATGGATGGGAGTCTCAGGGCAAATATTTCTCATTCCCACAATGGTTTATATGCCTCTTTCTGCCATAATCGGTTGCATTCCACAAAGGCAGTTACAGATTTTTCTTTCCTTTCTGTTGTTTGACAACATTTTGCCAAAGTAACAAGGAGAAGAAAGTTTGCATGGTGGGTGTCCCATTGCTGCTGAAAGAAAGGTGTTCAATAGCAATACAACTAAAGAGGGTCAGTAACCTTGGAAAAGTTGCAAGTACATTAAGTTCACTAATTCACAATGGTAAGCACAAAATGCAAAACTGGTCTTAGCACTGAGGAGTAGTGTGGGCAATGGTTTGAAACAAAGAACAAAAACAGAAGCATCAGAGATTTTTAGCAGAGGACCTTTTGTAGACTGCTTGGCCCCACACATTTATTCAAGTCTGAAATGTCTCCACAGTCTTGTCTCTTTGGCCCTTGGTTGGCTCTGCGGGTTATGGAGCCTTTGATATGTGAAATCTATCTGATTGAGCTGTGTCACTTGACGTGCACCTTTGAAAATTACACTTTTCCCCTGATCCAGTCTTGTTCTCTACATCTTGGTCCAGCCACACCATGTGAGGAGCTGCAATGACTGCTCCTGCTACTACAAATTGATCCACTCCTGCCACCACGCCTCCTCTGCCACGATGGGCTGATATCTCCTGAAACTGTGTGCCAAATAGTCTTTCTTACCAAGTATCTTCTGTCAGCTGTTTGTCACAGCATAAAGAGAAGTGACTAATACATCATGTCAGTTATTGTCTTGCAGGTAGAGAAGCTGAGAACAGAGAGGAGAGGGAATTTATTCAGAATAACAAGGTTGAGGCTTGGGTGATGGAGTGGTATTTAGAACAGAAATGGAAAAGAAAGGAGAAAAGAAGTAGAAAGAGTAGGAAGAGTGGTCAGCAAATTTTTGGCTAAAAGTTATTCCAGTTAAAAGATCTTTTAGCTGTAGTGTTTACAACAGCATATACAAACAGAAATCTACCTTGATTACATATGAGGGATACCCAAGATGTTAAAAATGCCAAGAACAGGTTGTCACTCCCAGAGATTCTGATGTAACTGGTCTTAGGTGAGGCTTGGGCTTCCGGAATGTTATATACTATGCAGAGACATAAGGGGTTTCTGTAGGGCAAGAGATTGGGAGGTGATGGGTGTGTAAATGGTTTTTACTTTTTATATAGTTTGAGATTATAATTGTACCTTTTCTCCTCTTTCTTTCCCTCATCCCTCACCATATGCTCTTCTTTGATCCTTGTCTAATTTATGGCCTTTTTTCATTAATTGTCACTGCATGCAAAAATATGTGTGTATACTCATTTATTCCTATATATAACCTGCTGAGTCTAGATAGTGGCTGTTTTGGAGTTCTTCTTCCG